TATATATATATATATATATATATATATATATTAATTCTCAAAACTAAACATGAGAGAGAGACTTGATAAACTAAATTGGTGATTTATTCTTTTTTATTTTCTTTGTAGCCTGATATTGCAGCACCAGGAGTTAACATTCTCGCGGCATGGATTGGAAATAGTTTCGAAGATGTTCCAAAAGGAAGAAAACCTTCACCATACAGAATAATCTCAGGGACTTCCATGGCTTGCGCACATGTTTCAGGGCTTGTAAGCAGAGTCAAAACACATAACCCTACTTGGAGTGCCTCTGCAATCAAATCTGCCATCATGACTACAGGTTAGGCATTTCATAAATATATAATGACCAAATTAAACCTCACACTTTTTGTAGTTTTTTTGGGATTGCACACAATACTCTTATCTTTTTAAGGATTACATCAACCCCCTTACATAATACATGGTATACTATATTACTTTGGTAACAAGGAGTTCAATTGAATGTACTTGTATATAGAATCATAGATTACAAATCAGTAATATTCTTAAGTAATGTGATCTAGCAATGTATTAACTCCTATCTTTCTATACACGTGCAGCAATTCAAAATGACAACTTGAAGGCTCCAACAACAACTGATTCAGGGTTTGTAGCAACACCTTATGACTATGGAGCTGGGGAAATTACCACATCTGCACCATTACAACCAGGGCTTGTTTACGAAACTGACACCATGGATTACTTGAACTACTTGTGTTATATTGGAATTAACACAACCACAATTAAAATTATCTCCAGAACTGTCCCTAGTAATTTCAATTGTCCAAAGGATTCAAGTTCTAATCTTGTCTCCAACATCAACTATCCTTCCATTGCAATAAATTTCACTAGTGAAGGAGTTGTGACTGTGAGTAGAACTGTCACAAATGTTGGTGAAGAAGATGAAACCGTGTATTTCTCTACTGTGAAGGCTCCTAATGAAGTAAATGTCACACTAATTCCAGATAAACTTCAATTTACGAAAAGTATTAAAAAGTTGAGCTACCAAGTTATTTTCTCTTCAAATTTGACATCTTTAGAAGAACATCTATTTGGATCTATTACTTGGAGTAATGGTAACTATATAGTTCGAAGTCCTTTTGTATTAACTGCATAGTAAAATTAAAAGTAGTAATGAATAAACTTGTGTTAATTTCTTCATTATGCCTACTTTGATGTCTTCATTATTCATATTTCGTTTGCCTTATATTTTAATTTAATTGTTATAATTTCAGATCTCAAACATACTATTTTTCTTTTTCAAATATAAAAGCTGACCTACTTGCCATTTACACTTAAAATTAGTTCTAGCTTATTATTACAAAAGGAAGCGTGTTTCAATTGCCCACTAAGTCATATCCGGAAGCAACCTCGATTTTTTACACCAGTTGGTAAATCAACATCAATTTCATGCTTCAAATGCAAACTATCCTCAAAAGTAGTTGCAGACTAAAAGCTAGATTTTTAACAGAACTTGTACAAGGTAACGGGGCAGTGAGTTCATGAAATAAGGAAACATGGAAATGTCAGTTTTTGACTGTTGTAGTGTGAAGAGCGTTTGGGCCGTATAAAAGTTTATTCTGATTAAGTAAGAAGCTGACAAAGGGTAGTATTTATTATAATTTTAGATTTTGTTATATTATGATTTTTTTTGCTAGGCATTTTGTTATATTCTCATATACACTTGATTTTATTATATTTTAGTTGTTGATTTTCTAAAAAACTAATATATGTGTACTTTTATAATTAATCTAGTAATATATATACATAAAACCTTGATAAGAATATTAGAGGTGGTTATCACTTACACCAAATTAAACAAAATATTTCTATTCAAACTTGCGGACACTTGTGTAATTTGACGCTAAGCATAAATTATATTAAATGGGAGTATTCTCGATCAAGAGAAGCTGTTAATATATCTGTTGATAATTTCAGCAACAAGAATCTGGTATGTCCTCTGTGTGGGGTGGTAGTACCAAACCACATATTTGGAATCGTTTGTGCATGTTTCCAGATTTAACGGGTTGCACAGAAAAGCCGTTTCTACAGTTCCTGTGCCGCAGCATCCCCTGTCAAAAACTTCAAATCCTGAAATTCAGTTAAAAGATTTAGGATTAGAAGAAGTAAAAGTTGTTTTCACCAGCACTTGCAAATTTTAATAGAAGTTATTCGTGAAAGGGAGGAACAAATTTTACTACCATGTTTAGTTGGGTTTTGGATGATATCGAGCAAAGGGTCGTAAATATGGATATACACGACCTTTGCTTGAGGCAAACTTTGGTTTAGGTTTTGCAACTCTGAAGATAGTTTAGAATTAAACAATTTTGATGCCATGTTTATTTCTTCGATGCACATTCTCTCTCTCCAAACGATGTTCGCAAGAATGGCAAGCATCCAAGGGGAGGTGCACCAAACACTCCTATTCTCCTTACCCCCACTCCATATAATTCCTATAAATAAAAAAATTTGAGACATCACAATTAAATAATAACAATTCAAGAAAAAAAAGAGAGCATAAATTATAATAATTTATCTTTTAATTAATCAAGGTGTGGTGAGCGATGTTTAATTACCTTAATGAAAGAAGAGGCAGTTTGCACCAACATACGAGTGTAAGTGGGAATATCATACTGCAGTTTCCTAAGTCTAGATGCAAAATAAGTATTGGCAATGTCTTCGTTGCTGGATACCACAAGTACTAAACTTTTGGACAAGATGAAGTTGGTTTTTGCGTCTCCAAAATTTGATTTCACATTTTCTATGTATTCTTTGAACTTCTCCAGTTGCTCAGATAATGGTATGACTGACTGTATCAGCAACAAAGTACGAGAAAAACAAGATATTTGGTGAGAACTACAACATTGTTAGCTTCTAATTAATTAACCAAATCATGGGAAGGCCAAAAGCTTGTCAAGCTACGAATGGTTTTGGTCGATGAGATTTTTAATGAGACACCTTGTCATAAATAATAATATGATAGATTTCAAAAATGTACAAATTGCTCAAATTTTATCAACCAAGGCTTCCTTACCAAGGATATCCTCAACTAAGGAAATGCCTATAAAATCAACAAAGGGTTCCCTACCAAGAATCACCTTGGCTAAAGACATGCCTATAAAATCAACCAAGTTTTTCCTATCGAAGACTCTTTCAACTAAGGACGTGCCTATAAAATCTGTCAAGGCTTCTCGACCAAGGACCTCCTTAACTAAGGACGTGCCTATAAAATTAACCAAGGTTTTCCTATCAAAGACCCTCTCGACTAAGGACATGCCTATAAAATCAAAAAAGGTTTCCTTGTAGAGGACTCCCTTAGTTCATGACACACCTATAAAATTAAATAAGATTTTTCTGTTGAAGGACCCTTTGGTTAAGGACATGCCTTATAAAATTAACAAGGTTTCCTTCTTAAGGATCACCTCAGTTGAAAATGTGCCTATAAAATTAACAGGACTTCTCTCTCGAAAACTCCTTCGACCAAGGATGTACCTATAAACTTAATTAGGTTTCCCTTCCGAGAATCCTTTCGATCAATGATGTGCCTATAAAATTAATCAAATTCCTCCTGGTTAAAGAAATATTTAAAAACAACAAATTTCCATTTCGAAGATAATCTATTTTAATTTCAAAGACTCTTTAAGTTATAAGACATACTCATTTTCAAGGACCCCACCAATTAAGGAAGTATTTGTAAAACAAGAAGCTTTTATTCCAAATACTTTAACTTAAGAAACTCTTTAAGTTAAAATGGCGAAGCTCCTTTCCAAGGACTTACTCGGTCAAAGAAGTATTTATAAAACAAGTGTCTATTCTAAAGATAACAAAGTTAAAAAGATGGAAACTATTTATGACCTTGTTAATGACATCTTCGGTCAATAATTGTCTTATTTTAATTTTTTTGTATTCGAAAATTTTATCTAATTTTTCAGGTTATCAAGGGTATCTTTGGTCAAGAATCAATTAATTATAAATTAGTAACATAGAAAATTTCAGGAAATAAGAGACTAAAAATTAATGATAATTTCATTCATGATGGAAAGAGTACAAAAAATGAGAGGTATCGCATAATTCGTAAAAACTAGTGACTAAAGAAATACAAGTAAGTCTAATTTTTATGGGTTTTCATCTTTGTTAACTTCTTCTTCCTTGACAGATTGAAGAGAAGGATGATGAAGGGAAGAAGGAGCAACAATGTCCTTGGAAGTGGACTAGTCAAGAATATCATTAAGATCCATAAAGTTCCCCTACATAATTCTTTTCCAAGATCAAACTTAAATTTAGAGGGAACTTCAAGAAAGTGTAAAGCTTGCCAAACAACATGATTAAAACCTTCCATCATACTCATTATAAATTATATCTTTAGCATGGACCTTATAAGCTTCATAATCAAATCCAACCTTATTCTTCTCAATGGTCAACTCATCAATCTATTTCTCAAGGTTCTCAATCAGCTTGGCTTTGGAGTCTTCAGACTCCCTTAGTTTATCCTTCAAATCAGCAACCAAGTCTTGAAGCCTTCAACAATCAACCTCAATTTTTTCATTGTCATCAATGATCTCTTGATTTGTGTTAAGAATTGAGCAAACATAGTTTCAAACTCTTTAATCTTGGTCTGAAGTTTATCAGATTATCCATGAAGAGGGTTTGAGTAATCCCCATGGAATAACCCATTAATTCACACAAAAAGACCACTTGGTGAGTGAGTTCTCTTGAGAAAGAAATTTGCGACCATTGGGAGAAAGGAAGCCTTGACCTAAGACCTCTTGAGTATTAATGTTGGGGGACAAGAAGCTGCTAGATGCCAAGGTTGGAGGAAGAGTAAATGACCCTATAAAAGAAATTGTAGTGGGTTTTTTCCTTCAAACATGGTGAAAGGAGGAAACGTTGGCACCTGAGGAATCAATAATACTTATACACAATCTTTTGAAAAAAACCTACTTTAAAATTTTTGTATAAGGAAGTAAAAAGCTTGAGAAGTTTTTAGGAAGAAACTTGAGCTAAAGAAACCCATTTGACTTGTTCAATGGGCTGGCAATAATAGTGAAGAAGGAATAAACTTGAGGTAGTTCTCACATGAGTAAATTTACAATGACTCCAAAATGCTTGCATGGCAACCTAGCTATTTGGGTGAAGTTGGGTGGATACAACGTTAAGAATCCTAAGAATATTAATAAAAAAAGGGTTAAAAGCACTAGTGGAAAATTAGTATATTATGTCACCCCTTTTACGTCAGAAATACGAAAATCCGACGTAAAAAAATGCGGTGGCATTTTTGTAATTTTTGCAAACTTTTTTACGTCGGACCCTATCAGGTCCGACGTAAAAAATGACGCAAATTTGAATAAGAGAGCGCGAGGCACACCGCGCGCATTCACTCTTCATCACTTTTCATTTTTTTCTCTCTAAACCCTCTCCCTCTCCTTTGTTACTGAATTGTTTTTTTGTCTTTTACAGAGAGATGAACTCTTTGTTACTCATTTGCACATTGTTGCTGCTCCTCAGGTATGAATCAAGGTTTCGTTAGCACTTTTCTACTTCGCATTGCTACTCTGGCTATCTGTTTTATTTGATTTTTTTGGTTGTTCTATTTGTATAGGTAGTGGGCGTTTTCTTTTGGGTTGTTATACGAAGCTGAATGGCTTGTTCTACAAGCAGAACGGCCTGTTCTGCAAGCAGAACGGCCCGTTCTCTAAGCAGAACGACCTGTTCTGAAAGCAGAACGGGTCGTTCTGCTGGCATTTTTATGTTTTTTTTTATTTTTTTCCCTACTTTTTTACGTCGGATGTCGTAATGTCCGACGTAAATTTACGTCGATTTTGCAGATCCGACGTAAAATTTACGTCTCCCGCTTCTACGTTGGTATGTTTTCTAACGTAAAAAGCTGAAAATGTCCGACGTAGTACACCTCTTTTGTACTAGTGAAGGTAGAGTGATACCAAAGTCTCGGAAAAGGTAGTCATATATATAAAAAAAAATGTCGCTGCTCAGAAAGAGGTATTTGTGCAAAAATGTAATTAGGATTAAAGGAGGCATCAATTTTACAAGACTTTGCAAAAATTGGGAAAGGTTCCTCCTCGGTAGAAAAGGTAGAAATTTACAAGACATAAAGTTTTCTAAAATTCTTGGGTCACTAAACCAAGAGTTATAGGTGGTTACTTCTCTATGAACCCATTCAAACCCATATACTATTTTTAATTTGCTATCATAATGAAGGTCTAAGCCTTTGTCCTCAACCGAAGGCTCAACCTTTTCTTGGTTTAAGTTTTTGGGTAGGGACGAAGGTCATTGGCAACTTGTTGAGAAGAATCATTATCGGTATAAGAAGACAAATCAAAAAAGGTAGAAGAAGAATAATCAGTAGATGAAAATGCGTAACTCATTTTTGCCTTTAATATGAAGAGGGGAGAAGAGTCTTTAGATAAGGAGGTAAAACAAGGATTAAAGAAATAAAGCTCGATTAAGAAAAATACGTAAAAGAGTCTTCGATCCCAGAGTAGAAAATGCAGTAAAAATGAACCTATATTTATAAGTGAATATAAGACTTTTCATATGCCAAAAAATGAATCTCTTCATTTTTGAAAAATATGAAGAAATATAAAAACCGCAGTGTTAGAGGTTATAAATGCGATACAACATTTGACTACCAAAAAAAAGAAAAAAGAAACCAAGTGACTCTTAGATTTTCTTCTATGTTTGTTGTCAATTAATCAGCAAAAGGTCTTCAAAATCTATGGATCTGTATATCGGAGGGACTTGGCAAAAAGGTAAAACTAGGAACTCGATTTATATTAATGATTGATAAGGTCTAAAAAAAAAGAAAAAGTATTACTAAAGGTATGATGATTGTTAATGAATCTTTCTTATAGATTTAGGTCCAATAAAATTAGTATACATAATGATATATATAGAAAGAGAAAAATGCATATTTTTTAACATTTATTATAACATTGACTTATTCGAATCCGAAGATTAACTAGAAATTGAAGTGTCTTTTACATATATTTTTCCTTTTTTTTCTTGGACAAGTATGTCCGAAATCTACTCATATCATTATCAAAGTAAAATATAGTGTATTTTACTCTTCGAATTAGTGTAATCTAACACGAACAGAAAATTATAAAAGAAGACTAAGAAAACAAAGGACGAAAAGACGCAATGGAATTACTTACATCTCCTTGTGTAGGTACATAATCCATCCATATTTGTGGCCTAGATAAATCTATAAGACAATGCTAGTGGTGTTCAATTGTTCCAACACGTGGTTAAATTAGCTTGCCACGATCACATGGGAAACTAAATGCCGTACAAACTACGTAAAGGAAGTTAAAATTTGGTGAAGACAAGCACAGAAATTTCTGGTTTATTACGTACCAGCTTCCAGTTGGGATATTCAATATATTTTAATATCCTTTCAAATATCCCTATACAAAAATATACAGTCATGTGCTTTTTATGGGTTACTTGTGAATTAAAAAATTTAAATGTTACCCAATATTTTTTTATTACATATTTTTGTTGTTCATTATAGTACTCACTAAATAATCATAATTTTATCTTTAAAAAGACGATGAAAGAGTTAAAAAATAAAATGTTTATGTTATTAATAGTTCTTACTATTAAATGATCTATATAAAATTTTTTGAACATACTTAAACAAGCTCTTTAGTTGAGGGAAAGTAGTAAGAGTGAACTATACCTTTTTTTTAATGTTAATGTTTTAACTTCAAGTTTATTAAAATCATTAGAGTCATCACATTTATAACACTCATTGAATAGTTAATATTTTATTCTCAAAAAGGTGTTTAATTGAGTTAAATTGAATTTTAAATTTTTTTATTGAAGAGGGATTCAGTTATTTTAAAAATAAGTCTTGATAGATTTACTTTATTTAATGATACATTTTTATATTAAATTTTATCAATTCAATTATTAAATTTTTTAGCAAGTTTACAAATTTTTAAAAAATTTAAAAAATATTTGATACTTCATTTTATTAATTCAAATTAACAGATAATCATAAAAATATTTTATACATTTATTTGAATTAATAAAATGAAGTATTAAAAATAATTTTAAAATCTCTTAAAAATTTACAGACTTAATCTATACAGGGAACTTTTAATTTAACATTCATATTACTAAAATTTGATATAAAATATGAGTTATTGAGTGAAATAAGTAAATATATCCTCTTTTTTATTTATAAAGTTAATCATTGAAAGTTCAGTTAACTACTTTAAAATTCATACAAATCTTAATTTTAAATTAGTTGCTAAAACTTTTTTCAATAATACATCGCTATTAACCTCTTAAAAATAATCAATTATTCGAAGTGCTCTTAGTTTTAAAATTCAACAAATATAGAAATACCAAAAAATTATAGAAATCTGGAGAAGACCCGTTACAATCATATATATACTTGACAATCAGAGTCACTATCAACTTGATAAACTCGATCGAACATATTCATTTTCTTCGATGATATGATATGTGTTACAATTAATATTAAATAGTGTCATGCATGTCCAAGAGCATCTTTAGTAGGGATTGCTTATAGGCAATCTCTTGTGTCACATCACTGCCACATTAACTCTGGTTCACTTTATGGGTTATTTAAATTTTAGCAAAGTTACTTGTAGAAGCAACTTTACTAAAATTTAAGCAATTCATAAAGTGAGCCAGAATTGATGTGGCAGTGATGTGGCACAGGGAGTTACTTATAAGCAACTTCATGTGCCACATCACTGTCATATTAGTTCTGGCCCACTTTATGGGTTGCTTAAATTTTAACAGAGTTACTTCTACAAGTAACTCTGCTAAAATTTAAGCAACCCATAAAGTGCTCTAAGTGAAACTCAGAAGAACCGAGTCAAATATTTTTGAAGGATTTGGACTATGAGTTGTCTGTATACTCTTTCGGTAGGATGATAACTATCCCAAAATACATATTCCGTATCATCGGGACAAGTGCCGTCCAAATGGTTGCATAACACAGAAACCTCTAATTTGCCTGTGCCACAGCAACCTCTATCCGCAACTTTATACCCTGCAATTAATGCAATGAAATATTCACCAACCAACTTAACTAAAATTTGAAAATTATATAAGTAAATGAAATGATTAGATTAGCTATACGTTGGGATGAGATTGATTTAATTACCATAACGTTGGTAGTTGACAATGATATCTAATAGGGGGTTGTAAACGTCGATGTAAACGATCCTACTATCGGGCAAGTTGTAGTTAAGAGAATTTAGTTCCCTCGAGAGTTTTGAGTTAAATAACTTTGCCGCGTAATTGTAATTTTCTGCGCAATCTCTTTGTATGCCTCCAGCCAGAGTTCTCTGTGATGGAACGCACCCTATCGGAGGTGCACTCAGTACTCCGATTCTGCGTGCTCCAAGTTTATATAATTCCTTCACATTTTACAAAACAATCAGAATTTGGTTGTGTTAAGTAGTTGTAGTTGTTGAAAGAGAAAAAAAAAAAAAAAGTAAAGTAAAGTCTACCTTTACGAAATCAGAAGCGGAGTTGAGCATAAGATCAGTGTAAGAAGGAATATCGTATTGTAATTGTCGAACGCGAGCGATGAAATAGGTGTTGGCAATGTCGTCACTTCCAGCTACCACTAAGTAAAAACTGTTGGCTAAGATGAAGTTTGCTCTCTCCTCTCCAACAATGTTTTTAAGCTTCCCTATGTATTCTTTGAACATCTCTAGTTGATCCGACATTGATATCACCGACTGATCAGTGGAAACAACATTTGCATAACAATGATATATAATTAGAATTAGTGGTAATTAGAGCTTAAAGATAATTAATTATATATACCGTAATTTTTGGCGTTAAAGGATCGTATCCGGTAGCACCAGAAGCAAAGCAGACTCCAGTTACCAGGTCACTTGGTTTCAGATTTGGATCCAAATAAGCTGGTAAAAGCTCCTTAATACCCAGTTCTTCAACTGAATTCAAAGTCAAACAAGCTACTAATTATTTCAGATATTAATGAAAAGCTGATCCATAATACTCATGACTGAATTCAACCTAAAACCACATTTGTATAGTAAAGTTTTAACCAATTGTCGACCAATGATAGAGTAGAACTGTTGAAATAATATTTACATGTCTTACATTCAAATTTTCTTATTGTTAATGTAATTATTCTAATAGGTAAAAAAATAGTGAAATTTAGCAATTTAATTATAGGTTTAGAATAATATCTATAGATTTTATATTTGAACTTTCTTATCGTTAATATATAATTCTAATGAAATAATATTGGTGTTAAGATTTGTCTTTGTTAATGCTAATGGAATAATGTAATCATATCCATGCTAATCAATATCTATAACATATATAAAGGGTGATGGGTTAATTTTGTAACAACTTTCAAACTACTCTTTTTTATTATCTCTCCCCACTATTTTTTATTTAATTTATATTTTTTTCATAAATCATTAACTAAACAATAATTACTTATTTTATAGGAGATACCAAAGAAAATATTTAATCATTAGATACCAATAAAATTATTTAATAAAATTATTTTTTATTTATCATAATCTCCTACTAATCAATAATTATTTATATTTAATTAGGAGATACCAATGAAAATAATAGTTACACGTAGAGAGTTTTTGTTTTTGATGTACACAAATTTTAGATTATTTTGTTTCTATGATTCTTTTGTTATATATATCATTTTACCCTATATATGTATACAAAATCTGCCTTTGATTGTTAATTACAAGTTATTATTTAATCTTAATCATTTTTATTCTTATTTTTTATAAAAAAATACACACAAAAATGCAAAATTCCTTTTTAACGTTAATTATTTATAAAGATGATATATAATTTAATTAAATATATACCCTAATAATTTAATTTTTAATAAATAAAATCTATATTAATAAAGGAAAATTCGTAATTAACATTTTTAGAAAGTTAAAAAATTACAATTTTTATTATAGTATCGCAATATGTATAATTATCTAAGCATGGACAAAATATTTCTTAATTTTAAAAATTAGAGGTACCAAATTTATAATAAACAAGTTTTGAGGACCAAAATTACACGAACACAAGATGACAGTGAATTGTATATGTATTAGAGATGAACATATATTTTCCTAGAGTTACGTACGGTTACTTACAATGTAAATGTTCACTTCCATAGAACGTGTATATCAAATACTTCTTGACCCAACGTAACATTTTCGATTTTTTTAAGTTGCCTTGCATGGCCATTATGTATGCACCCGTTTCTTACATAATGATGCAAATATGACCAGAAGAAACCAAATAAATAATTATATTTTATTAATTCATCTATATTTGTACGTCCTTTAGGAAGATTGCCCTTGCTAAACTTTATTTTATTATGTGTTAACTAACACAAATCATGCTACATATTAGCGACGCTCAAGTATAAAAGTTTCCTAATAAGAGACACGCAAGCTTCAATTTCTAATTTCTATTGACGTTAGATTCATATACTTTGAGATCAAGTCATCGTTTTCATTTGAAAGTGATAAGTTTGACAGATTTGGGCTTTCAATTCCCATACTTAGCATTTAGATAATTGGACCAGCTTTTGGTCCTAAAAAATGTTATTAGGAAACAAACTCATTTATATGCTTAATGTGTTCTCTACACTCTACTTTACCTACCTTGAATATCAATTGAGTAATGATTGGTGTTGGAGATAATTTTTCTGATTTTAATATTTTTAATTATTATTTTATATATTAATCTCCAAGCATTAGGCTTTAGGCCAACCTCTATAAGTTGATCTCCTCTAGAATAGTCTATTTAATTTCTAGAATGCAGACAACCTATAAAAGTTTAATAGACGTCTAAGTCAAAACACTCCCATTAATAATTTAATATAACGAAGTTATATTTATATAGATGTATGTTTGCCTATCAGTGTCCCTAGTTTTTCGTAGATAACTTTCGAAAATCTCATGCAAGAACTAACTGATTATCCACTAATAATCTAGCCCATTGAACTTCCATTCTACTGAATCAACCTACAGAAAATCCACCAAGTGCGGTTTGTCTAAAACCTTAGATGATACAATTTATTTTCCTTATAATATCGTAATACTTATTACATGTTTTTTTTTTTCTCTCACTAAATTAAACATCATTTAAAGTAAATGTGTCCATATAAATCATTTTTTCATATCAATATTTGTTTTCATGTATTACCAACCCAACTTTCATTGCTTGTCCAAATTTCTTTCTTTCAGGAACTAAAAGTTAATGGGATATATATATATATATAAGGGTTATAATAATACCAGTATAACGTTTACTAAATATTACACCGCTCAATAACTTTATATTAAATGTGAATTTTGTAAATCTAACCATTAGCTTGAAAGTTCTTTACTCTTAGATTATATATAAAAAAATTTATATTAATCCAAGATAATTTGATACCTCATTCTTATAAAACAAAATTGACGTAATATATACATTTCAAAATATACTTAACACTTTGATTACCTTCAAGTTGTAGTTTAATTTTAACAAAATTTGATATATTCATATAAAATGATATGAACTTTCAATTTAATGGTTGAATTTACAAAATTTATATTTAATATAAAGTTATTGAGCAGTGTAATATTTAGTAAAAATTACATTGATATTATTATAACCATCCTTTTATATATAAATGATTTTATAATTATTCATCAATTTAAATTAATGAAATGAAGTATCAAATGATTTTCAAATTTTCTAAAAATTTGCAGATTTGATCTATGCATTAAGAACTAGAAATTGAATGATTGGATCGTTGAAATTTAATGTAGAATGTAAGTTATTGAACAGTGAAGTCTAGGTAGACTAATTTCTAAAGTAAAAAGATCCCTCCTCATATATATATATATATATA